TATAAAGTCCCGACCTTTGTCCCGAAGCACAGTTTACACGTAACATCGTGGCTTCGATATCGTGGATCTTTCTTTTTTTTTTTTTTTTTATTTATTCTCCCTTCTCTCGGGTCAATACAAGTTTCGCAGAGGACACGAATTTACAAATTATATATATATACAACGCACTATATGTTATACAATGCACTGTATATTCGTTAATTGCACGAAGTGTGTCGAACAGAGCGCGCCAATAGCTCGAAATAATTGTCATTTTGACAAAGACAAAAGCGACAGAACGCGCAATTGCTGTTGCAGGATTTTATGTTGCATAGTTTAACACACACACACACACACATACACCTCTCTCTTTGCTTAAGCATCGCATTTGAATATATAAGCCACCGAAAGAGGTATGAGGGAGAGGAATATATATCTTTTTCATGAGAGAAATACAAGAGAGTGAGTTCTCAAGAATAACGTTTTATATACATGAGATATATAATAACTCTCTTAACGTCGCGCGTACAACGCAACAATAAAACCAAAGGCTCTTAATGCACAAAGGAAAAATGATCGTTCTTCTTATCGCATCCGCTTTATCTAAAACATCGGAAAACGTTACGCACATGACTCCGCCGTTAAATATACATTATGCATGTTGTTGTATAGAAAGCGACCATGATCTTACGTGCAAGGATGTTTGATCGATCCGTAACCGCCACTTTTGCCGAGACACTCCTGAATAATATACCGGTGTCAGGATCGCGAAGTGCTCCTTGCCTCAGGAACTAGTCAACGTCGGCGTATCCGTACTTTTAAGCGACAATCCTCTTGCGAAAACTTTTTGAAAATCTTCGAGAGACGTGTCAATAACAATTTTTACGGTTGTTCGGTCATGATCGCGAACCATCGCTGACCTCTGAGAACTCATCCGCTCGTGTGTCATTTCGTATTTTTGCTGCGTGATTAGTCATGGGAGTTTTGCGTTTCAAGATAAAATTTTAATTTATCGCTACGGTTGGAAAACGTTGTTCTTTGAAAAATATGTTGTTTTCTGCGCGCGCTCTTTTAAATGTCAATATAAATATTTATATTATATAATTCAGAATATAGTGTGTTACATAATTTCTAGTATTTGCATTTGAGTATTTGTATTTGATTTGTGAAAATTCAGAAAAATTTTACTTCCGTATGTTTCTTGGAATATCTTAGATGTTAACGGCGTTTGTATGTAAATACATGCACTGTAAATAAAAATGCACTGTAGTCGCGCTCGGATTATGAGCAAACGCAGACGGAGGAGGCTCTAATCTGAAAACACGACGGTCCTTTTAGTGCAGCTTCTCGATACGTCGCCTCTGTCGCGGATGCAATTTCGAAAATTAATTTCATTTACACCGCGACGCAAAGTACAATCCCGTGTTTTCTCCGCCTGTAGATAGAAAGTACATTCTTCTTCTTCTTGCGCGTCAAAGATGACGGACAGGAAGAGAAATTCCGTGATAACCGTGCAGACAACTGTGCATCCATTTTTCTTGGGTGATTATAAGAACTCTCCGAAGAGATATAAACATTCCTTACATCCACAGTCAAGAAAAACTGGAACGCGCACTTAAAAGCTTTTATAATACCCAATATCCGAACTCCGTGGATATTTTGCGTTAATCAGGATTAAAAGTTTGTGTCGAAATTAATCAATTTTAATTGCGCCATAATGCCGTAGCACTTAACTTGCGATGTAATTTTAACGATAATTATTGTATCATAAATCGCGTACGCGCGCAAAGTGAGGTGCGAAGTTGAAGTGTTACATTTTGAATTTGTTACAAGTGTATTTAATCAGATTTGAATTTGCCCGAACGCGTATAATTACGACCGTTGCGACACGTTTCGATTAATTTATTCATTCATGTGCGGGAAATCAGGAAGAAATTTGTACCTCTCTCCCTCTCTCTCCCGCTTTGATTGCATTATCGCGAACGACGCGCGCGCTAGTTTACGACTTCGATTTCTGAAGAGGCGATCCACGTCGAACTTCGGTCGAGCCCAAGCGCGCGGCCAAGTTAATTACTGAAATTAATGTGGTCCGACGGCGTTAATCCGCGCGCGGCACGCGAGCCAATCAAGAGGTCAGATAAGAATTAAATGGCATCGAGCCGACGCCTCGTTAGCCGTCCCGTGTCGGACATAAATTTCACGCTAAGCTCGGCTCTCGCATTCAAACGAGTTCACGCCGATAGAGGGGAAATCTCGTGTTCGCGATCGCTTTGCCTACGCGTTTCAGTACGTGCTATTTTATCCTATTACATACATATGTGCAGCCCATAGGTGGTTCGTTCGTTGCATACAAGATGAATCGAATTTATCTCCCGTCTATTTAGCTTTCGAAAAAGAGAAGGTATAATACGTAATAAGGTATAATAAATCCACTTATATAATTAGTTTTCTCGTATTAAAATGCGTTTGTGTAATCTGATATATATATATATATATATATGTATACATATATTTTTACAAGAACATTCAATTAATTTTCGTCACGCATCAGAGCTGATATGTGTACACATTCCAAATAAGTACATGCATATGCGACGTTAAATGTAAATCATGTTAGAGATAGGGTGTATCAATTACCGCGAATTCGATCAATGTGATTAATCCGCCTTCGACCGCCTTTGCGCTCGATCACTATAATTTTCTCGCTCGTTTCTCGGAGCCGCGCAGGATATAAGAGCCGCGTTGATTGCGGCGAAACGATACGCGAGGTGGTATAGACCGGATTGATAATTATGATTTTCCTAAGTGATAGTTAATGCCGCTTTTTGATGTTAAAACGGAAATTCAGGGTTAGGTTTTGATTTTTATTAAACAACTGTTATCTTGCGAGAAACTTAATTAGAAAGATCAGAGAGATTTATCTCCAGTATACACACGCGTATCTTGTCGTCGCACAAAATTCCATACACGTGAATACATTATGTTTCACTCGATCGTCTTCTGTTTGTCTTGCCACTTAATCGACCTGTCTAATAACAGCTCGACGAGCACACATTTGTAAGCGCGAGGTCCGAAATACGCGCACCTCTACGCAAGACTGTACCTAATCCCAATCTGTATGAGTTTATTTTCGAGGACCCTCGCACACGGAACGTTTATCTTTAATTACAGGGCGGCTCGAGGCCTCTAAATTTATCGCTAATAACGCCGCAGCGAACGTTAAACTCCATCGTCGACGAGGATCTTTACGGGCGTGTGTGTCGGTGCGTGTATGTCACGTGCCGACGTTAAACGAATGCGCGGCGCGGCGCGGCGCGAATATATTTGCTCGCACGGGACGTGTTCGCGAGAAACGGCCGAATATACACATCGGCTGATTACTCCGACGTGTATATTCCTTTCATGCGAGGCTTTAATGAAGCGAAGAGAGTTGCGCGCCGTAAAATATACCGCGCCCCTCATCACGCCGGAATCTCCTCTTGTCTCTCTGAGTCGCAACGCAAAGAGCGGAGTCTAAAATGTGAGCGGTACTCGCCATTCACGTTCTCGAAGAGGATGTAATCCTTGAATTATTTGCGGCGTTTTTGATAAAGAAAAAAAAACATTAGAAACATTAGAAATAGCGCTGCTTGTCCAATTGCAGACTTTTAAATCGTAATTATAGTTTTTTAGTTAGCGAGCTTAGAAAGAGACGAGTTAAATCTAAGATATCAAAAATTATTTAAATGTTACATATTTTAAAAATGTCACTAATTTCTTCTCTTTTCAATGAAAACTCTCACAAATTCTCAGTTTTCGTGAAAGATATAACAAATTTATTCTCGGTATTTTCGGCGCGTTTTTTAAAACTTGCAGTATTTATACTCTTCTAAATATTTTTCAACGAAAGTTTTTTTTACAACAATCGCGATTCCTCGCGACCAAAACCATCGTGGATTTATATAGGTACACGTTTCACTTCTCTTTTTCAGCGACTATTGGTAAAACGCGGGGCGCGTTCGATGTCGCCGTAAGGCCAACGAGATTGAATCGTTACACGCTCCGCGAACGTTCGTGACTAATGTTTCCGCGGCAGACAGCCGATTGTTTCAACAAAAATGTATTATGCGACGGCGACCGTCGTAAAATATGAATCTCTTTGGGAAATTTTGTCGGAACGGCGGCTACGTGAGCGGCCGAGAAAGGGTCGTTTTGAGACGCGCGCTCTGCCTTGTTATAAAAGTTCCTTCTTGTAGCGTAATACCAGAAAGTGGATATCCGTTTTTCGGGCGCGGAACTCCCGCGAACCACAATTAAATTGCTTCTTCTCGCGGTTCTCTTTTGTCTTGTGGCGACCGTCCGGATTTGCTTTGCCGTTTCTGGCCGCAACGGGAGTCGTCCCGCGGAAACAGATAGCGTCTTTCAACGACGAGAAATGACAGACAACGTTTGGGAGTTTCCAACGTTGCGACTTTCGTGTGCACATACGAACGAGAGAGAAAGAGGAAAGAGAGCAATCGAACGTCCTTTTTTATATTTGACTTACAATCAATAGTTTTTCTCTATCAATTATATTTTTTGTAGAAAATCTGTAATTGTTTTCTGTCTGTAATTCTTTCAGACAGGAAACGTTCAATTAACAATTAAAAATACAAGATAATCTATATGTAAGCTCGAAGTAGCTTCGCAGTGTGTTGCAAGTAAGCTTCATCCCTTCTGACTCTTCAACGTATCTTGTTCCTTGATTATATGTTGTTGGACCAACTTCCCGACTCTCGCGCACTGTTTGAGACCAGAACGACAGCTGAAACCGCGAAACGTCTCTCGTCCCTTTGGTAATCCTCGGCATTAATTTTCTACAGAGTTAGGTCACCCCATTGTTATCTATTGCAAGGAACATTATATCTTGACTGAGACCGAGACAGATTGTCGTGCGCTATTCTTATTCGTATTAAACACGATCGAAGCCGTACAATACAATTTATTTATATCTCTCTCAGTTTTTATTCACTTTAATCTTGATCTCTCATTTTTGCTTGCAGATATGCCTGCTGGGCCTCGTCGTGAGCGACAATAGCACGATCGGTGATCAATCGAGTACGGAAAACGCTTCGGAGATCAGCAGCAACACCGACAATAATCTCGCCACCAACGTCGTAGATCAGGTAAAACGATTTCTTTTCTCGTACCTTCTCGCTTACTCTGCCGATTCCAGTCGCTTTATCACGCGCAACGTATTTACATTACGTACATGTACGGTCAAGCTCTCGGAATCGCGCTTGAGCGATAATTCTTCGCCTCTCCCGTCGGATCGGAAACTCAGAAAATCGCGGTCATAGAGGCGGGTGAAAAAGGCAAAATGGCTCGTCGCATGCTCGATCTCGCGATTCGAATGACGTGTCTGCTCGCATGTACAAGTGCCAAGCGCACGTAGCACGTGCGAAACGCGACGATATGTAAAGGTGCGAAATGAAAAGAGGAAGAAAGCGATATAGGGTGACGGAGAGAAAGAGAGAGAGAGAGAGAGAGAGAGAGCTAAGGAAAAATGTCACCGAAAGCTCCGAGAAAAATAAACATCTTTATTCACGACGGCCGCGGACGGAAATGGGTCGCAGAAAATCGGACAACTCCGTGTTGTCGCGCGTCTGTAAAGCCGCGTCGCTTTTACCTCACTCCTAAGGTAACTCGTCCCAAGTTTTATACGGTGCTTTCCAGTACGCGAAGAATGTTTACGTTACCATTCTTCTGAACGTCATCGAATTTCTCAAAAACGCGATGTTTCTCCCTTTTTTTTCTTTTGCGCTTTAAACGCCGATCAAAATGCGGAACGTTCGCGCGACCTTTCGCGCTGTTGGTTACTTCTTTTAAAGAAGCTATATTGCTTATTACGCATGACGAGACATCGGGGTCGAGTGTGAGCGTTACAGCGGCGCGGCTATACGCGAAAGACTTTTCGGCAAAATTTATGATCACGACTTGCGAGACTACCGCTGCGGTTAAACGTCTCGTTCCTCAGAATTTAACGCTCCATATAACACCGAAAATTTTCTCCGCCGAGTTTAAACTCTTCTTTGCAAAGAAAAGCGACGTGTGTATTTGAACTCGCTGATCTCTTGCGTATTAGTGCTTGATGTGATTGGGCAATTATAACGTCAGATATTATCGTGTTTAGCAAATCACGAGAGAGAGAGAAAGAGAAAAATATATAAATATATAATACTTCTAAGTAGATACATTAATAAAATGCTAATGTAAGATGCGAAGCGTCCTATCATCAAAAAGATCTCTAAGGCAGAAAAGATTTATATGTAATCAGGGATAAATAAGGTTATGCAGGTCAGAGAATTACATAAAACAGAAATACATAAAACAGAGAATTACATAAAATCTCTGTAGCGTTCTCGTTTAAATCTGCGCGTACCAAAGATTGAAATGGGTTTCACCATTAAGAAAAGTAATGAGATTATTTCTCGGAACAGCTTTATTATGGTATTTCAAATGACCAAGACATTTCTTGTTGTCCGTGGAAAATGTAACGGAGAAGTACGCATATCGAGAGAAAGAGAGAGAGAGAGAGAGAGAGAGAGAGAGAGAGAGAGAGAGAAACGTAATGAAAGTCAAGCATTTTATGTTAAAGTATAAAAATTGCTTTTGGAGGGCCGATTTCATTACATCCGCCGGTAGTGGGAATGAGTAATACGGCACATGCTTTACCGGTGCTGGACTTTTCAATTAGCTCCGACCACATGTGACTTCTATGACGGGTTCCGGACTGTGTAATAGTTAAACAGGATTTCGCTCGCGCATCCAGATGGGCGGTGCTTTTCCCGCATGCCCATGAGCAGATTTCCTCGAAAAGCACATCACAGTTTTATTTCCGCACGTGAAACCATTTTGCTTTTACGAACGCCTTTAGCGCTCATGAACAAACGTCGGATTTGAAATGTCAGAAATAATAAAAAAAAATGCATATCTTAACGCACAAGCAACTCGTTATATTAATTATTAATTGAAAAGTGTGTAATTTCCTTGGTATATTGTGTGATTATTATTTTTCTTATATACATATATATATATGACATTTAATTTTCCTGCAAATCTACTTTATATTTATTACGTACGAGAATTACCGCGCGTCTCTCGTGCTGGAAATTTTAAAATATTAAGAATCAAGACATTTGCGCGCACCGGGGATTCAGTTTCTCGGATTAAAATTTCCAGAATAGCCGCTGTACACCGCAATGTTGCTTTTTCGCGACGAAATAAGATCTCGGCTTTAAGTGGGTCGAGAAAGTGGAAAAGAAGACCATTACCGACGCGTTTTCTCCGGCGACAGTAACGCGTGAGAATAGCGCGGTAGCGGCGAGCTAACGGGGATCGAGCTTCGCTTGTGTATATGCATATAAACGTTCCTTTAGCACAGCAGCAGGTGGATACGGCTTGGATGACTTTAAAGCCATAGGTACCTGCGGATGCGCTCGCGCGCCGTTTTCCAACGTTAAATCATTTCTGCACGCGATTACGTGCGCGCGCGAGAGGCGCACATTGCGTTGCATATACACGTGTATAAACGAGGGCGCGCGAGTTTCTGGCGGAAACTGCAAAGTACATGTAAATTGCCTGACGCACTTCGTAAATTTCGTTGTGTCTTGGGAAGTAATCGCAATCTCTCGGAAAAGCCGAGGGATAACGCGAAGGTATCTCCGCCGAATCGCGCCACGGGCTTAGTTTTGTTTTTCTTTTGAAATAAAAAGAATGTTATCTTTATTCGCTCGCGGCTGTATCTACACGCGTCGTTCCGCGGGTGTTAGAGAACAAACGCGCGGGCGCGCGCCCATGCGAAACTTCTTCGCTTCGAAGTTTATATCGATTTTTCACAAGCGAGCTGTTACACTACATATTTCGCAATTACTCTTTAATGTCGCGAACTTTTCTTCCCGACGAGAAACGGTTCGAATAAATGCTGCTCCGCGTTGCTGCTTCTTTCGAATAACTTTGCCGCAATTCGGTATAGAGAAAAATTACTCTTCCCGCGAAAATCGACGATACTCGCCGCAATATCTTCCTCGGCGCGGTATTACAACTTTTGGGGGAAAGCGCTCTTCGGCGTGAAAACTACATGAAGGGGAATACAAATGCTCGAGAAGATATCGCGCTTGGAAACTCGCGGTAACGAATGTAATGAATAAACATTTTGATCCTTGCCATGTGAACACCTCGACTTGGAGAAACAAGAGAGACTTTCTCTCCGAAGATTCGCTCTCATATTTTTATTAAAGTACTCGCGCGTACTCAAAAGGTAAAACATACATTTGCTAACTATTTTAGCTCGGCTTTAAAAACCAAAGTTATAGCGCGAACAGTTTTTTTTTTCTGTTGCAGCGCAAGATATTAGCTTAATAAAAAAAAAGATCATCATTACAGTTATCTTCATAAAATTGTCCTTTATTCCTACGTGTTCCCGGGTCGCAGTTTCGCGGAGTGCAACTCTCTGGACGATTAAACCGACAAATTCCCGCAGCCCATAATTTAAACCGGATAGGGGGACCGCAGTTGTTGCAAGTTCGTAAAATGCACGCTCGAGAAATATGTGACCAGTTTTACGGCACGACCGCTGCTGGCTGGCACCGCAGTGTCGTCGGTACGTACCTGAGACGCGACCCTTATGCAGACAGACCGACGCTTTTCTTCCGGATGTCATTTCACTCCTGACAACCGGAAGCCATCGCGCGTAAAACTTGCAAAACTGCCAGCGGCTTCTTGTTATCGCAATCCCTCTCGGATCGTTTTGACAATTTCGAAAACTCGAAGAGCGTCTGGGAGCGCTGAGATGAGAATCGCTGATCGTATTTGTGCGACGATTCAGTTTTCTTCCCCACCACTCTATTTTTTTACTCTATTTTTTATGTTGTTGAAGATGCAAATTGCATCTTACGGTTGGGAGAGGTGAGAAATTATCGAACACGTCTGGTGATGTTTGAATGAATGAATCCACGGAACAATCGGTTGTTCTCTTACCGAAATGTGATATTGTCTTGGGGTAGGTTTTAGGATGGAGAGTAATCGTGGTTGCGCGCGCGCGAGTAAAGTGCGATTTCGGCGAAAATACATTGTAGATACAAATGATACAGACAAATGTACAGTAATAACGAATAATCGGATTTTATCCTTATTTTCTTTAAATAAAATATTTGTTTTTTTTTAATTAATATTTGCATTAAATATACACATTACAAATACACAGATGTTATAAATAATTTTTGTTTAATGAAGAATTTATATATATTATTATTCAATTTATTATAAATTTATATTATAGATCTAATGTGTTATAGATTTCATAGAGTGGTCTAAAAAATTTATTATTATTTACTTTTCTATTTACAATTTGAAGTTTTACTTTTTTGCAGTATTTGTAACATTGCTTGCGCATTAAAAATATAAAAGTCGCGAGTAAAGATATCGACTTAAATTTCTCTATATTTCTCATGAAAATATTGTCGCATGTAAATTTAACAGAATATGCTAAATCCAGAATATGCATATCATGTTTCTGTTTCTTGTTGTATATATATACAACCCGGTTCGATCATACATATATATATATATATGTAATCTGGAATATTCCGGTTAATAATAACTTCGTACTTTTTCGAGATATTCGTGATAGCCGAAGCGCCGTCGCAGATAAGGAAAATAAGGTCATATTCTGTATAGAAAATTGTAGGCGATGTGTGTATCGTGTATTTCCGCGGGATATTTCACTGTGTTTCCCGGTGATTGCATCGCGACGGCGAACATATAAAACTAACTTTGTGAATGCTACAGCGTGGATTTCGCATATAAGGCGGGATTTGAAAAGCGAATTAGGATGTCGCGGTAGTATCGAGATATCGTTTGTCTCCTACGTACGTGTGTTCTCGGGAGTTTTCTCCGCTACTTCGCCGAATACTCGATGAGATGTGTTCCGAACCGTCTCTCGAACTTCTGCCGAGCGCGAAAAATTTGACAGAAACAAACAAAATCCTCCTTCGAACAACTTTTCCTCACACACTTTCGTGATTTACGCGCGGATTTCGATAATCCGAATTATCTCGCGTACACACATTGTGTAGTAACGCTATTTAATTAAATTAAGATACATTCGCTGCGTAGTTGGATGATT